ACACACAGACGGACTTCACCCAAATACTTCCCTTACAATGCTAACACATTTGCTAGATGAATACACTATTGCCACTTATGGTTTACCATTATGTGGGAGGTATTTCTGCTGCACGCTACACACACACACATATATATAGGTAGCATATTTTCATTCAATCAGGTTTGGTTAAATAATTTACCGATAACACAAAACAACTTATTTGAAAGATTTAACATACATGCACACACATTTAAGAAAAATAACAAAATTTTCATGTGAATAGTTTTTATTTTCCCAAGTACTTTCAATCTTATCTGAGACCATCTCTATATACATGTGTTTCTGTAAATTCAAAACATTTCAACTGCTCGTTTTTTTTTCACTGCATAAGCAACGATCAGTTGAAATGTTTTGAATTAAACAAAAACACACATATATATATATATATATATATATATATATATATATACACACACTCACAGACAACTTAATACTCTGAAGATGGTCTCAAATGAGATTGAAAGTACTTGGGAAAATAAAAACTACTCTAAAGAAAATTTTGGTATTTTCTTACACAAGTCTATTTTGTGATGTCAACGAACACTCGTTACAACTTTGTAATGCCAACGAATACTAGTTGTAACTTTCGTAATACTCGTTGTAGTAGAGACTTTATAATCGCAGATAGAACTATAATGCTGGTGTCAGATGCCTATGAATAATCTCACACTAATAGTACATGCTCGATAATACTCACTCGAATAGTAATACGTATAGAGAAATTGTATAAGCGAATCGAGTAGAAATAGAGATCCGTATAGTATAGAGGATAGACTAGAAATAGCGATTTGAATAGTAATAGAGGATAGACTAGAAATGCAGATCCGTATAGTATAGAGGATAGACTAGAAATAGCGATCCGAATAGTTATAGACTATAGAGTAGAAACACAGATCCATATAGTATACAGGATAGACTAAACACAGCGATCGTTAGTCGTCAGCTACTTCCTACATATATGCGTTTCTTCTATGGTCACGTGGTCTACTTAATTCAATAATGGTATCACCTGTGTTTGTTCACTGGCGATCTATGTTCAAGCTCAAGTGTCGGCAGCGACACTTTATTCCTATATAACAGTGTGCCAAAAAAATTAATTCGCAAACTTGAAAGAATCACAACGAAAATTAATCGACATGATATGTCTAAATTATTTAACCAACCCAGTTTGTTGAAAATATATATATATATATATATATATATATATATATATATATATATAATATAAAAGGCTCAAACACTAATATTCCATGGTCATAATTTATTACATTGGAATCGTAATCACGATCCAATTCATCAGACCTACAAATTCAAAAAGAAATCGGAAAAAAATCGAGTTCTACCTGGATTCTATCCTCTTGGGAATTTATATATCTTTCAAATTTCAAAATAAGTTGTTTTGTGTTATCGGTAAATTCGCCAAAATTCATATTAACTCTCATTTTATATTAATTTTCCCGAGTGCTTTCGAATGTTGCTACATTCGTTTTCAAGGATTGTACTGTGTTTTGTTGCACAATTGGTTTTTAGTCCCGGCGTTCTTACGTTTGATAGAACCTATTTCAAGTTAAAAGTATTTCTTTGTTTGGTCAAAAGTCTGTACTTTGGTGGTGAGATTGAACTGACCACTCCAAGGTACATGCCCTGGGCAATGATGTATGGACGCCATGCGCTGCCCAGACTACATGGCCACACTCACGTTCGTACCGACAAGACCAAAAGGAATACAGGAATTAAATTTAGAGCCGGCGTTTTTGAATTTTTGGAATATGACCTGCAAGGCAAATGATGCTTAAATTATATATAAGAATGTTATATGTGTGTGATCAACGCTCTTTGTTCTCCCTTGTGGCATACTGCTAGGGGAGTGGCCATGTATACATTGTAACAGCAGCGATAAAACTGGTGTGATCAATCTCATACTTCGATCACGTGACCATAATAGCACCAACTATAAGGACGTATGAGCAGAATACAGTGTGACAAACCTAAAGATAGGTGATGACGAAAGGGCGGATAATTTTAGACTTATCCTCGTATATATATATATATATATATATATATATAAGCTGGTCTCAAATGTAATTCACTGTATTCCTTTGGATCTTGTCTGTCGGAGAATTGGCGGTCGGTGGCGGGCATGTAGTCTGTACAGTGGATTAGATAAATTATGGTTGTGGTCACTAATGTAATTTTGATGATGAACCTCTTTCAATCTTCACTGAATCTCAGTTTCAGCTGGTATGGGCAGTCAACCTTGAATATAGATTGGTTTAGTTGCTGACCTTGGGATTTACTTATGTGTCTTCTGCCACCACACACACACACAAGTGTACCACAACTCATAGTGCTTGATGTCAGGATTGAACTGGCGATTCGTCATTCTGAGCTGTAGCAATTGTTATCTTTTCCACAACTGCAAATTGCGGATTGGTAACATGTAGTCTGGACAGCAGAAAGCGGCCTCATTATATCATAGCCAAGGCCTGCTCTCTCTTTTTGTCATATATATATATATATATATATATATATATATATATATATATATATATATATATATATATGTGTGTGTGTGTTGAAGCCCCATCACTTATATTGAGCGCTTTCAATAAATGTACCGCGCATATATATTATATAAATAATACACATAAAATTGCATATATATATATATATATTACATCAGTGATAGACCTAACATATTTAGTTGTATTGATGTGAGTTTGTGATCGTCAGACTAGTTTCAGAGCGAGAGAGAAAGACAAAGAGAGAGAAAGAAAGACAAAGAACAAGAGAGAAAGAAAGAGAGCGAGAGAGAGAAGTGGGGGATGAACCGGATTTCCCAAAATGCAACATTACTTTCTAAACAAACTAAAATTCACATTATTGTTAATACCGTGGGATGTTTGCACGCAGCCATAAAATATTTTTCTTTGATAAGCTAGTGTCAAGTCAAATTTTCATGATCAGTGAAGTAGTTTTCTGAATTCCTCTACGAGTCACTGTTTTAAAAAAAAATATAATTGCCGCCCACCTCCAAGCATGTCAATAAAGCTCATACCAGCTGAAACCAAGATCCAGTGAAGATTGAGAGAGGTTCGTCATCAAAAAGTACATTAATGACCACAACCATGATTTATCCAAGCCACTGTACAGACTACATTCCAGCCACCGACTGCCACTTTAATTTAAAAGAGCAATTGTGTAGCGATCCTTCTGTGAACCGTCATATAGCCTGACGTGCTTCTACCGATTTAGCCACAGAGGAGCGTTTCGGCTAGCAAGGTCGATTTTACTGTTTTTAAACTACAAATCTCTATGATTTTCTCTCATACATTCATATCTGCCCTATACGTATCTAAATGTAAACAAATGACGTCACACATTATGAAATGGACAAAGTCCGACAATTGTTTTAAGACATTTTTTATGTTTATACGTTCTATTTTTTTTTTATAGATACAAATATTTAAATAAATGCTCTGTTTATAATAAATAGTATTAACGACATTTACCGGCCTGGATTAGTAAAAGCACACCAGGCTATATGACGGTTCCGTATAGGATACAGGTTCGATTCCTGTCGGGGGACGCATATATTCTATGAAAATTTCTCGGATATTCAGGCCGGTAAATGTTGTTTAATACTGTTTATTATAAACAGCGTTTACTTAAATATTTGTATCTATAAAAAAAAAGAACGTATAAACATAAAAAATATCTTAAAATAATTGTCGGACTTTGTCCATTATATATATATATATATATATATATATATATATATATATATTTATACAGTGTAACCTGGATATAAGAGAGTCGTCGGGACCAGAGAAGAAGTCTCTTTATATCCGGGTTTGGTCTATATGTATACATTAACACAGGCTCTAATTTGGGAGCAGAGAAAATCTCTCTTATATCCGGGTTACACTGTGTGTATATATATATATATATATATATATATATATATATATATATAGAGAGAGAGAGAGAGAGAGAGAGAGAAAAAAGAGAGAGCAGGCCTTGGCTATGATATAATGAGGCCGCTTCCTGCTGTCCAGACTACATGCGGAAAAGAGATAACATAACAATTACTACAGCTCAGAAGAGAATACCGAATAGCCAGTTCAATCCTGACATCAAGTACTATGAGCTGTGCTACACTTGTGTGTATGGTGGCAGAAGACACATAAGTAAATCCCAAGGCCAGCAACCAAACCAATCTATATTCATGGTTGACTGCCCATACCAGCTGAAACTGAGATTCACTGAAGATTGAAAGAGGTTCATCAAAAAGTACGTTAGGGACCACAACCATGACGTATTCAAGCATCTGTACAACCTTTTGCCAACAAAAAAAACGTCTAGACCAGACTAAGAAAAAGCAGCTGAAGTTGGAGCCAAATTTAGAGACTTCTCTATTTCTTTTAATAATTGATGATGAATAAATGATTTTAACTTGTGTTCTGGTGGGTGGAAAAGATTTCAACTTATCTTAAAAATTGATGGTGAAAATAAATAAACTTCTATGTTAAATCTGTGTGTTTTTATTTTTAACATTATCTGCCTTCATAAGAAATATATTTACCGGCAAAATAACCTGGGGGTCTATTTTACCTAGACCGGTAAAATAAGCTTAAAAACGTGTTTGTCTATTTTACCAGGACCGTCAAAATAATCTACTCCATTTTTGAAACTTAGAAGTTCATTTTTTTTATAATATTGGCCTTATTCAGTTAAAAAATAAAGAAAATCTATTTTATTTTTCATTTATCTGAAAGAAAAAACAGACAAAACAATAAAAATATATATATAACGAGAAAATTTCGAACTAAATGATATATCGATAATATTTTAAATATGGTTTCTGTAAACCCACTATACTAATGTTGTGATAGACATTATTACAACAGCAGTACCTAACGGTAGAAACGAAAGGTTAAAACACACACTAATGTCGACTAAATCTGAATTGAAAGGATCATTGAAGCAGTCAGGAAAACGAGCGACGCTTTCAATCTATTTTCTGCCATGTTGCCCGAATTTGTAGGAGTTGTTGGTTTGATGCCATCACAATGTGCCAAGTTATCTCCAACGCAGGATGCGTAAGCTATGGCAGCCGGAATAAAGACTTGTTCGCGGACCCCGCGGAAGATATGGGCCATGGGTCCTTTTGCAAACACGGCAAGGTCCTCGCCACCATGTGTCTCTCGCTTCTTAGGGACTGCACTCTGTTGCTGATAGTCGTTCCTGGCTGTGAAGAAGAAGAGAAAGCACCGAGAAATCGGCAATCAGAATGAGCACAGTCATCGAAACGTCGTAGAGACGCCATCAGGAGAGGTACCAGGGTTGGTTTGCGGAAGAGGAATTGAGGTTTGGTTGGTAAAGAGGAATTGGTAGATGGTAGCACATGGTGAAGCAAGTTTTTTTTTTTTTTTTTTTTTTAAAGTAGGAATCAGCGGGTGAAGTAAGTTGGGTCTTTAAAAACAAATAACATCAAAGTTCATTCAGAATACACCGTTGTCAAAATCCACAATATACAAATTATTTTCTTTTGATCACAACTATTCATGCAAAAGAAATCTTTTTTTCCTTTTCTTTTTTTTTTTATCCGTTTTTGGTATGACGATAAACTACATCCGCTTCCTGGGTAAGACGATAAACTACGTCCAACAGCAAGGCCTCTGATCAGGAGGTTTTGAGGAGCGTGGAACCACCTCTTAATTGCTGGCGTTCCCAGGTCCACCCTGACCCAGGGTGGTAGAAACTGTTAGGGTCTCTGCTATGGGCAAATATTTACCCCCCCAAAAACTAGGGTCAAAACATTATGAAGGTATAAAAATAGATTTTAATACCAGAAATACTTTGTAAAAAATTATTACCAGCAATACATTTTTGAAGGAAAAAATTATTACCAGCAATAAATTAAAAAAAAAAAAATAAAACAAATATCATTTTTTGAAAAAAAATATTACCAGCAATATATTTTGGAGAAAAAATAGTACCAGAAATAGGTTTTTTGAAGGAAAAAATTTTGCCAGCAAAATTTGTGAAGGAAAATTATTACCAGCAATAGATTTTTGAAGGAAAATTATCACCAGCAATACATCTTTGAAAAAATATTACCAGCAATTAAAATTTTTTCGACATTAAATAACCCATTGAGGCTGATATACCGTAAACCTAACAAAACCAAACCTTTTTTTTTTTTTTTTGAAACAGAAAAATTTCTGTTTCAAAAAAAAAAAAAAAAGGTTGATCCAAAACTTATAAAATCTTCGATGGTTATGTATCACATCGGATAAAAAAAAATTACCCCACAATACAGTCCTGGATATGACTATAAACTACACCCAGATCTGATTGGGTTGGGGGTGGAGGAGCGTGGAACCACTTCTTAATTGCTGTTGTTTCCAGGTTCGCACTAACCCGGATGGTAAAACCTGTTAAGATCTCAAGTATGAATAAATTGCTAACCCTCACCCAAACTTGGGTCAAAACACTATGAAAGTATAAAAATATATTTTTATAGTAAAAATATCAGCAATACATTTTCATAGTTAAAAATTTACCAGTAATGTTTTTTTTTTTGTAAGAAATAAAAAAAAATTGCCACTAATACATTTTTGAAAAAAAAAAATTACCCACAATACACATTTGTAAATGGAATTACTATTAGACCTTATAAAGATCAATAATGAAGTAAAAAAATATTTTTCTGTTTTTTAATACTAAAAATTCCCCTAATACAAGACTCGAGAGTCACTCAAGGCAGAGATTAACTATTAAAATAGTCATGACGAATGAAGTTTTATGACTAAAAGGATCGTTAGAAAGTGAAGTTTATGAAAATGAGGAGGATAGATAACGGTTTGACTATTTAACATAGGGTTATAGTGTTCAAGGAAGCACCCCAGCAGGAGTCTATTCTACAAAAAGGAAAAAAAAATCTGTCTAAATGGAACATTCTTCATAAATTTAAAATACTGAGAAAATGAAGATGATTCGACTCTGTGGAAGGTGGGTCCTCACTGCAAAGGTCCAAACAAGTACGACTAGAGAATAGTGCTAATGTGAATATCTTCTAAAGCTTGTTCCACCTTCCATTTACTCAGGTGTTTTTTTTATGGGCCGTGTCCCCTCAGAGTCTTGCCGATCATGACTCTCCACAATTTTTTTGTCCTTTGTAGCTCTTAATAAATTTTCTCTTTTTTGCTATCTCTCCTAAAATCTGTTCCGCCATCCATTTACTCAAGTTTGTTCTGTTATGTGACGTGTTTCTTTGGGGTGTTGGCGATCATGGCTCTCCACAATTTCCTCTCCTTTATAGCTTTTAATGAATTTAGTCTTTTTTGTTATCTCTCTTAAACCCTATTTTGCCAAGCTCACTAAGTAGTTTAACCGTTTTTTCCTTTCTCTGTCTTGCCTACAATCTGCTCTGTGAGTATCAAATTTTCCAAGCCTTCTTTCCTTATTATGTGCCCTAGAAATTTTAACTCTCCCTTTCTAATATTAAGTATCACCCTATTCGACTATAAAAGCAATTGTCGAACTTCGCTTGTGGACTGTTGTCAAAATAAATCTTCATTACACGATCAAACGTTCGCCTGTTTTTCTTTATATATAATAGGGAAATTAGTGCTTTACTTGCTGTTGCATTTTTTTGTGGCTGAGCGGTAGAGCACACCAGATAAGGCAGTGGTTTCTCTTATAGGAGTCGGATGCACATTCAATCCCGACCGGCGAACGCATTTTCACTAAGATTTTTCGAATGTACAGAACGGCAAGCGTAACACAGTGTATAAGGAATAAAAAATGAGGAAAATATTTCAAATACGTAGTTTCCACTATAATTACATTTGATATATATATATATATATATATATATATATATATATATATATATATATATATATATATCGGTGTAACAGCTAAATTGTCCAAATCGTGTAACAGCAAAATTGTCTAATTGTTAGAATATGCTTTAAACCGTTGCATATTAGAAATGTTTAAAGATCTCTTACTGGAATTCTTCGATGTTTTTATAACTTAATTGGACTCTACATTGAGCCATATGAATGTATAATTATTCTCCAGGTTTAACAGAAGAATCTTGATGAAATCGATCATAAACGAAAATGATATTTTCATCGTTAATTAATCATAGGAAGCGTATGAAGTATTGCAATAAATATATATATATATATATATATATATATATTATTATTTGTGGATCATTTTCTAACTTAGTCAAGATGATGTTCACCCTCTCTAACTTTCTAAGTTTCTGTCCTAGAGACTCACACGTACGTTTTTATTTTCAAGTCTTTTTCACTTCTATTTGGTCTGCCATAGCTGAAACTCCTCTCTCATATGCCAAACGTCTTATGGATTGAGTTCGATCTTTTCTAATTGATCTCTTTAGCTCTATGTTGAAATGATGATCCTTCTTCCTGTTGTGGCCTTCTGATCTTTCAACTGTCATAGCTGAAACTCCTCTCTCATGTGCCAAACGTCTTATAAATCGAGTTGGATCATTTCTAATTGATTCCTTTAGATTTAAGTTGAAATGATGATCCCTCTTGCTGTTGTGATCTCCTCTCTACTGTTCCCTCTTTTTAAAAATGATTCATCGTTCTCTTCTTGAATGGACTTTGAAGATGGAAGCCAGAGTAAGAATGTTGGTACCATTACTGAAGGTCTGAATGATTTTTTCCTCTCACCATTGCTGGGACTGACACAAAACCTGTTTTAACCTGTTCTCTTGTTAGCTGAATAACTTAAAGGGTTTTGCAGCGATTCTTACGACAAATAGTTTCAAAATAGCTTATCTGAAAATCTGGATAAAAGAAACTCAATTAGTTTAGTGGTTTCTTTTTAGATACTAAAACTTTTGTGGGATGGCTAATTATGCTGTTACATGATTTGGACAACTTTGCTGTTACACCTGGTATATATACACCCATGGCAAATTAACTGCAACAAAACGAATAATTCCATTATTATTTACTTTTTTCGTATATTTCCAATGAAACAGTGCACATGTTAGTACTTCGTATATATATTCTACCATGTCGTTTCTTCAGATTGACCACAGATTCACAATTAGATTTAAACCAGGAGAGTTTCCAGGCCATTTTTCTAGTACTTTGATTTGATCACTGGTAAGGCTTGCCAGTGAGTTCGAGCAGCGTTACGATTTTCGTATGCTTCCTTGGCGTAACATCCATCACAGTCAATGGTGAGGACAACTAATCGACAGTCAAGACAATAGTGTCTGGGCATGATATAAATCTGATGCAATCACGAATGACGCAATATTTTTCAAGGCCAAACATATTCTATCATACACCTCGAAAATAGATTCATATTACTGCACACCACTGCAAAGGACCTAATCTGAAGAAAAAAAATAGAAATCGGCTACACCCTGTCACTCCAGTGGGTCTAAAACTGACTGTATGGTGAAAGGAAGGAAACAAAAGCTGTTGTTTCAATTAATTTGCACAAGGAAGTATATAAGTTTCACGACTGACTAAGTACTGCGAATAATTTTTCATGCGTTCATATAATTTTTCTTCTTCGAGGAGGTAAATTATGTAGAAATTGGTCAGGTGTTCTGTATGACAGTGACTTTGGTTATACTTTTAACCATAATCGAGAATGAATTTCATTTTTACTTTAATTGAATGCATGGATTGTTTTATGTGTGTATCTAGAGTTATACAAACGTTTTATTTTCAAAACACGGTCAGTACATTGTGGCAGTGTTCATAGTTGATCATGCACAATTGTGTGTGTTTGTGTATACTGGTTCCATGTAACTTGGGAAGTATGTGTCTGTACGTGTGTGTGTATGTACTGATTCCTTATAGTGGGACGGCGTGTATGTGTGTATGTGTACAAATGTGTTTACTAATTCCTCGTAGTGAGACAGTGTGTATGTATGGAGAGGGAATATACACATATATACACGCATGCTGACAGAAACAAACGAAAATGGAAATAGATCCAAGAACACACAGGGGTCATTAAAACATAAGATACCGACAACTAATTCATCATTTCTCTCGGACCAATCTGAATTGTTTTATGACCCTTTGCGCAGAATTCTTCACTGCCAGTTCAAGAAAGAAATTCGGATTACTAACACAAAGAGAATGTCTCATATCATGAATATTTAACATCGAAAAACAAAGGAGAAAAAATTAATTATCTTTAATAATATGTGGAAATCTCCACCCTTTACCTGATGACGGTCGCGAGACCAGAAACACGTGTAGTAAAATTACGGAAAATAAAGCATAATATTTTTTTAAAATTCACATTACAACCAAAAATATTTGCGGTATCTCTTCTTTTTAATATACACACTTTTTCCCGTTGGAACTACTATAATCTCTTCCTTTTATATATATATATATATATATATATATATATATATATATATATATATTCATTGTCTAGAAGAATCCTCAGTAGAATGCAGAAAGCACTGGAAGGCCGTTTCATCCTGTTGGGGACTCATCAGCATTATGCAATCCTAAATACCTGTTGATTTACAATAGTACGAAACGGCCGTCCAGTGATTTTTGCATACTTTTGAGGATTCTTTAGACTCAATGAATTGCTATAAGTGATTATTCAAATCTCACAATATTTCTATTACTATCATATTTTGTACACAATTTTATACTTCCAGGGTAAAAGTATATATTTTTTTAATATATAATTTGTAGATAATAAGATGTATTGTTAAAAAGATTTTTTTAAATGTATTGTTGGTAATTTCACTAAAAAATGCACTGTATGTACTTTTTATAAAGATATATTGCTGGCAGTCTTAGAATAAACATGTATTTTTATTCTTTTTTTGTTTGTTGTGTTTTGCAATAAAAATGTATTTGTGGTAATTTTTTTATAAAAACGTATTGCTTTTAATTTTAGTATAAAAACGTATTGCTTATAATTTTAGTATAAAATGTACCGTTGATTTTTGTTTGGGGGTTCACTATTTACCCATAGCTGGGACCCTAACAGAAACTAAAAGCCCGATTTAGGATCAACCTGGGAACAACAGAAATTAAAAGGTTGTTCCACGCTCCTCAAAACCTCCAATCTCCCAATCAGAGGATTTATTTCCAAGTCATAAAAATTATTATCATTCAAAAAAATTCGTCGCAAAAAAAAAAAAAAAAAAAAAATCACTTAAAAATAAAAAATTCCATAAACAATCGCAGTAATGAAAACTTCGGAATCCAGAATTTTTGTAACATGAGCTATTGCAGAGTCGTGTCCCTTTAATTGAAAATGTGGGACACACTGACATTCGCATTTATTATATGCGAAGTTAAAGGCTAAAAGAAAAATGATTGCTGCCACATCTGGACTGATGCTCTCATTATATACCTAGAGATTTTTGTCAAAATCCCCAAAAGAGTGTGTCAAGTTATCGGTCTTGACCTGGCATCTCGGCTTCAGTCACTTTCCTCGCAACGTAGTTTCCCTGTTTCTTTCTTTCTTTTTTTTCGTGGTAATTGTTCTATTGATATCTCCTTTTTTGTGTCTCGATAGCATAAATTTAAGCGTATTACTAAATTGTCAGATAACTCTGTTCCGGATTCTTGCTTTCCAGTCAACTACGATCTTCAAAAATTTAAATGCAACATCAATCGCCATCTTCTATCTTCCCGAACGCTGTTCTTTTATTGTCCTTTCTCATTTTTTTTTCATTCTCAGTAACCATCCCCTTGTGTCTTAGTAGCATTATCGCCATGTTTTAGCGAAATGATTAAATAAATTGTTGTCTGGATGGTTTTGTTTAGCGGCATATCAACACCTATATGGTTTATTTAATGCCGAAATCTAAATATTTTGTACGCAATTTTATGGCTTCAAATACAGATAAAATGTATTGTTGGTTATTCTACTATAAAATTAAGTGCTGGTTTTGTTTGTTCTACAAATGTATTGTTGCTAACTTTTTTTATATAAAAATGAATTGCTAGCTTTTTATTATAAAACGTATTTTTCTTATATACTTTCTGTTGTGGTAGGATCCACCTAATTTGCATAGTGGAGTACCGACCATATAAATATGGTTGGTACCGGGAAGAGAGGGAGGAATCAAGAGATTCAACCAGAGACTCTGCCCGACTGCGACTCAGTCAACACATTCTCCAGGAACGGTCTTACCAGGAATATACAAAAGACTATATGTAAATATTGTGTACACTTTCTTGTTTCAATACATTTTGTTCTAAGTAGCTTTTGTGTTGCATTATTATTCCATGCATTAGTCAAGTTTCAACACTTTCATAGTGTTTTTTTTTTTGTTAGGGGGATTTACTATTTCGTGGTTAGCAATTTACACATAGCTGAGACCCTAACAGGTGCTACCACTCCGGATCAGGGTGAACCTAGGAACAACAATTAAGAGGTGGTTCCACGCTCCTCAAAACATCCATTCTCCCGATTAGAGGCCTTGCTGCCGGATGTAGTTTATCGTCATACCAAGGACTTTTAAATAAATAAATATGTAGCTGGTACAGCGAAAACAAAAACCAACAACGGAATTCGAATGCGGCATGCGAACTGGACGTAGTTGTACGTTACGCCACAGGTCAACAATATGACTGTTACATAACGTATTTCTGGATTTTTTTGTGTTTGCAAGCTCGTTTGGTGACTTTCGCGATAATGAAGACAAACAACAAGTTTACGTTTTGTCTTCTTTCGGGGAAAATTGTCGTTGAATGTATTTCAATGCTTTAAGAAGCGTTTAAGGAAGTGATCTTTAAGCCAAACACAAGTGTACGAGTAATGGTCAAGCTTAAAACCATCTGAAATGTCCATCGAGAACCAAAAACGTCCTGGCAATTCTTCAGTAAGCCGTATGATGGAAATTTAGAAAAGCTCGCCACGTCGTCAATGAAATCCGTCGTCAGACCATTAATGAGATTTTTTAAATGTATTAATTAGTCCTGGAATTCATACCGGCGAATACTAATAAAACATTAGCTGTTGAAACCAGTTTCCAAACTTTCGTGCATCATAGATGCAAAAAAAAAAAAATCGTATGTGCCATGACTTGAAGGAACTTGTGGTTTTTATGTTTACAGATATAAAATGACCATTAAGTCTATGAAAAACGCCAGATTCTCCAAGACACCATTGTGGCTGAAAATTTGAAAACCAGATTGATGTTGGTAAAGTGAATAGAAGTGTAGACAAGCAATGATTTTTTTTTCCACATGGGATTGCTTTGGTTTCCGGCATATTATCTCTGTCCAGGCTATTTGATGTCAGAAACAGTCTTTTTGTTAAATAGAAATATAGACATGTTTGACTTGCATGAGAGTCAAAAGGAAGACAAAGGTTTAGTTTGTAAAGGTTGACATAGATTTGGCTTGCAGGCAAATAAAAAAAGTAAACAGGCTTGGCGTGCAAGATTCAGAAAGACAGACAGACGTTTAGTTTTCTCCAGATTCAAAAAGGTATACATAGGTTGGCTTGCACGAGTGTCAAAATGGTGGACCGATTTGGTTTGCAGGAACGTCAAAAAGGTAGAGTTTGGTTTGGTTTGTAGGTAAGTCAAAGTGTTAACTTGCATAAGAGCCAAAAAGGTATACACAGCTTAGGCTTGCACGTGTTTCAAAATGGCAGGCATCGGTTTGGCTTGTCCGGAAGTCAAAAAGGTAGACATCGGTTTGGTTTGCTTGAGGTTCAAAAAGGTAGACAAATGTTCGGTTTGCAAGTATTTCCAAATGGCCGACATCGGTTTGGCTTGCAGGGGACTTAAAAGTGTCAAAATAGTAGATGGAGGTTTGACTTGCATGAGTGTCAAAAAGGTAGACATAGTTTAAACTTGTATGACTTTAAAAAAAGATATATAGATTTGGTTTGCCTGAATGTCAAAAAAGGTGAACATGGGTTTGGTTTCCACGCGTATCAAAATGTCAGATATATGTACAGTGATAGAGGAATGGTAGAAGAGTCGGTGTTATCACCAGCCTAAGGGGAGGATATCGTCCGTTAGTCTGTCGTGACAGAAAATATCCCAAATGTTACTTACCTACCTACCCACCAGACCACCAAATATATGGGAAACGTTCTTTTTTTTTTAAATTATTTCTCGCCGTAGGGTTAATTTCATCTTCCGTTTCCTTTTGAACGTGCATCAGGCCTTTCCCAGTTTTTGTACACACCAATGCGAATGAGAATCTAGATATGAAATGGAGTAATTTGTCCGGTTGTCGAATGACTGAGAAAGGACCGTGTCGCATGTTTACATAACAGACAAACAAGGAATCAAGCCAAAAAAACATAAAAAATAAACAGACAAACGCGGGTGAATATATAATCTCCGTTTAACTTTGTGGAGGTAATTCAAAATCACATCGTTATATATACAGATTGTGTAAAGGCACTTGTATTTTGAACATGGACTGAATCGGTTGACAAGTTTTGGAAATAATATAATTTGTGTACCGAGTTGCTTTAAATAAGTGAATAAACGAAGACAAAAGTTAATGTAAAAAAGAAGAAGAAAGGAAGATTGTTCAATAAACAATCGTCAGTTACTTACTTGTATCAACACCAGTAAGATTTTGACGAGTAGAATTGTATCCGGGTCCATTTCCATAGACTAGAATTGTCATCGGCTTGTTGTCGCTTGGGGGTTTTTCATGAACATCGTCAGGTATTTTGTCTGAATGGAAAGAATAAAGTTTTATCAAAAGAATTATTTAAAATTTGCTTATCGACATATTCTTTAAAGAAGCCTGAAGTTTACGTGCTAAAACGAGTTAAGCAGTTTCGTATACAATTTTGTTGTTTGTTTTTTTCTTTAATGAAGGCAGTAAAGCCACTAAGACACAAGAGGTTCGGAAGAATAATAAACAAACAAAAACAAAAAAAAAAAAAACCAGAAACATTACGAAGGAGTGAAAACCAAAGAAGAGTAACCGGGACAGTAGATAGCGATTGACATTGCATTTACATTTTTGCAGTTGGCTGGAAAGTATAGAACCGGAAAGGGAGTTCCACAAGAAATGCAAGAAAAGAAACTCTTAGCATAGAACTTACGGTTACATCTACCCAACTCAACTGTAAACTGATGAGACCTTCTCACCAGTTTTGTACTGCGCTTAAATTTAAAAAAATAATGTCTAGGTACCCTAGCGGAGAACTGATCGGAATAATTATAAGAAAATAAGAAAATATTTATAAAAAAGACACAGGGAGGCAACTTTACGGAGGTGGGAAAGTGATTGAAGCTAAGACGCCAGATAAGGACCAAAATTAGTCCAAAAGATAGATTCCCAAATTATAAAGTGAACATTTATGTAGAATCACAAGCCAGAAGTTAAGTCTAACGCGCGAAATTTTTTTTGTCAGTTTTTATTTATTTTTCAGTTTATTTATTATCTAATTTAATTGATTATTTCCATTTTCTAAATAGTATTTTCTTTCATATTACCCTCCTTTTTTCGCAAGTCATAAATAAAACATATATCCCAGAATGATACTATGGACACTCACGTAAAAAAGGAAGCCATAGTTTTATCATGATCGCAACTGTTTCTGTTTGAATGGAGCAGCAGATGATTCCTTTTGAATCTCGGGTTTCTAAGCGCCATCCACTTTGACAGGAGGAAAACGAAAAAGTAGTGGGTGAAGGATTGTTAGAGATCAATCGGAAAAAAAAAAAAACACGGAAATATAGTGTCTCCGGGTGCTGATCTATATTAACAGTCATGCTTGGGGGTCGTTGAGAGTTCTACTCCGCCCTTGGCGGCATAAGGACTTGTTCATCGCGTGGTTCTTATGCAGTCCGTTCGTACTATCACCTACTACGACGGGGTGAATAGTTGGTAGAAGAGCTAAGCTGCTAAACCAACATAGCAGAAGTTGGCTCAAGTATCACCTACCTACCCATCCAGATGAGGAGGTAAAGCCCTGAATAAAACATGCATATAATATAAAAAAACAGAGTTTATTTCGCGTTTGTCTTTAATCTTCATACCTTGCAAGCAGCAGCCGGCCCTCTGCCAGATTTCGGCGCACACCGATGAGATAGAAAATAGAAATGCTGTAAATTACCAGTAAGTGTATCTAGTCTAAATCCATAACGCTATAATATAAGATATAATTTTTTATTTATGCGCCATGCGTGATACCCGATTAATAATAATAATAACATCGACGAGCTGAAGACACTGACAATGTTATAGGTCACTAAAATGACTCTGGAACTGTATATGAACCGGAAACCATAGTTATTTTGTCGCACCGATGAATGTTAATTTACTGTGGATGATCAGCAATTACAGGTGGGATTTGTCGGTGTAGAGAACTCTTTTTTTTTCTTATATGTTTTATTTTATACTTTATGTTTTATATCGGTTATATGATATTTATTTCATTATTTACTCATTTCACCCCAAGCAAGGCCATACTTTCACTAAGACGCAATGGGTTAGGGGGAGTGAATTTATTGTTTTCTCTCTTTATCTGACTTCTTGTCCCCTTTTTAATATCTTTCGCACTCACTCTTTTCATGATAACCTATTTATGGGTATTATTATATTTGCCCCCAAACCTATCTACTCCATTTATTCTTCCATTCTGACGTGTTTATATCTTTCTCGGCCCTTCATGTCACATAGTAAATCGCAGTCAGTCTGCATAAAATGACAGCATTTCCATAGACAGTCACATTCCTAATTTCCAACCCTCTCAGATGAGATCCTGGTATTTTTCAAATTTTCTTTTATGAATTAGTTCGTAGGATTTGTATCCAAGAAATCAATATCAATTTTTTTTTTTTATCTTTTCACCCCAAACAAGGCGATAAACCCACTAGGACCCAAAGGGCTGCTAGGAGTGAAAGAGAATGAGGAGGTTTTAGTGAGAAAAAAAAAGGACAATAAAAGAACAGAGTTCAGGGAGACAAGATGGCGATTGATGTTGCATTTAAAATGTTGAAGATTGCAGGTGGCAGGGAAATAAGAAATCGGAAGACGGTTGCATCTAGCAAGTTCAATAGTAAAATGGTGAGACCTCGTTGCCACTCTAGTAGCACGCTGAAATTCACGCAGTCGAGGCATCAAGGCGGAAAGCTCACCAAGAAGGAATCCGCGTCACATCTGTAGAAAGGGGAATCAACGGGCTGAGTTCAAATTCTCACCTAGTTTTTTTTATTTATTTATCTATTACCTTTAATCATTTAACCCTAAGCAAGGTGATAATGCCACCAAGACTTAGTGGGGAGAAATGTCAATAAAATAACAGGTTTCAGGAAGGCAGAATATGGCGATTGACGAGGCATTTAAATTTTGGAAGAATATAGTTGACAGTCTTATAAACATGCGTATGATCGAACGAAAGACCAAACGAAACAACAAGTACCTCATGTGATGCGATAAAATAAGAAAACAAGAATGGTTAATATAAAATTCTGCAAATACAGAGATTGCGAGAGGAATGTCTCTAATTGGGCAAGGGAGGTGGCTTTTGAAAAAGAAAGTGTAGAGTTAGTAAGGACTGGGATTGATGAGTTCGTCGGTTCGCTATCCATTACACCACTCGCGCATCTTTTCATTAATTTAATGCTAAAGTGAACTCAATTGTTTGTGGTAGATCTTCAATAATCGCTCAAAAAATATGATTACGAACCCAATAATTTTGTTCCACGTGGAGGGTAGCCAGCTATATTGAAGACATGCGAATGGTCAGCAGTGACCACTGTTAATGTCTCTTTTTCGTTAACCATCTGCAGAGCTTTGACTATTGCGTCATCAAAACTAACTGTTTCGGTTAGTGCCTCTTTGGCGACATTATTGTGATGACCATGATCAATTCGTCCACCTGAAAAAGAAAAAAAAAGTTCCTTATAGAGACATCAAGCAAACATCATCTATTGATTCCAGAATATTCTCTAAGTGTATCTTTATGCTTCAGAACGTGGGCACTCATGGCTCTCCACAACTTTCTATCCCTTGTAGCTATTCCTAACGTTTTTCTTCTTGTCATCCCTCCCACTCTCATTACGCAATTCAATCACATATGCTCGCCAGAGAGGGTTGCCTGTTCCTTTCATATGTCCCCTTTTGTCTTCGATATGCCCCGTGAGTGTCAAATTCTCCATAATAAGCAATTTATAAAAATTAAGGCGAGTGATATTTAAAAAAATAAAGCGATCAAAATAAATAGGTACACAGTCTGTAAAAAATTGAGGCAACCGATATTTTAAAATTAAGGGGAACAAATTAAATATTAACAATGCATAAAAATGAAGGCAAAAAAAAAATAAAAAAAGTCATGCAAACAGAATAAACAACCTATAAAAATTAAGGTAAATGATTTTTAAAAATGAAGGCGAGCAAATTAAATAGCAAAGCAAACACCCTATAATAATTTTACAAGGTTAAAAAGTAAGCTGAAAAAATTAAAAAAATAAGGCAAACAATCCATAAAATTTTCACAGAGTAAGTCGAACAAAATAAAACGTAAAGTATACAATGCATAAACATTAATACAAGCGACGTTTTAAAAAGTAAGGCAAGTAAATTAAAATGTAAGGTAAACAATCTATAAAAATAAGCGATGTTTAAAAGTAAATGCATCATAATAAATAGATAAGCAATGTATAAAAATTAAGGCGAGCGATGTTTAACAAGTAAGGCGATCATATTAAAATACGTATACGATCTATAAAAATTAAAGCAAGTATGTTTAAAAATTAAGGCGAACAAATTAAACAGTAGGATAAACAATATTTAAAAATGAAGCGATGTTTAAAAGTAAAGTGATCAACATAAAAATTAAGGCAATGTATTTTTTAAAAATTAAGGCGAGTCAATTAAACAGTAAGGTAAACAATGTATAAAAATTAAGGAAAGTGATTTTTAAAAGGTAAGACGAAGTAAGGTAAACAATCTATAAGAACGAAGGAAAACAATTTATTTTTAAATTAAGGCCGACAAATTAAACAGTAAGTTAAACAATCTATGGAAAATTCAAGAAGTTTTAAAAGTAAGGCGAACAAAAGAAAAAATAAGGTAAGCAATATTTAAACATTAAATCAAGCGTTGTTTAAACGGCAAGACAAGCAAAATACAAAGAAAGCAATGTAAGGCAAGCGTTGTTTTAAAAAGTAAGGCGAACAAAATAAAGCGTAAGTTATGCAATCTATAAACATTAATACAAGCGATGTTTAAAAAGTCAGACGACAAAAATAGATAAAAAGGTATATAAAATCTATAAAATTAAGGCAAATTATTTTAAAAAAAACTAGGCTAGCAAATTAAACGGTACGGAAAACGATCTATAAAAATTAAGCGATGTTTAAAAGTAAGGCGATAAAAATAAATAGGTAAGCAATGTATAAGAATTAGTGCAAGCGGGGTTTAAAAAATAGTGGGGGGAATAAATAGGTACACAATCTATAAAAATTAAGTCAAAGTATTTTAAAAATTAAGGCGAGCAAACTAAACAGTAAGGTAAACAATGTATAAAAGTTAAGTGAAGCATCAGTAGCAAATTAAAAATAAGGCAATCAATGTATAAAATTGAAGTAAGCGATTGTTAAAAGGTAAGGTAAGGCAAACGATGTAAAATATAAGTTAAACTATCTGTAAATTTATCGTAAAGAATTCTTTAAAATTAAGGCGAGCAAATTAAACAGTATGTCAAACAATAAATAAAAATTAACTGATGTTTAAAATATATGGCAAACAAAATTAAAAGCAAGGTAAACAATCTATAAAAATTAAGGCGAGCAAATTAAACGCTAAGATAAACAGCGTACAAAATTTCAGCAATTTTTAAAATGTAAGGCGAGCAGAATGTAAGGCAAGCAATGTATAAAAATTAACGTAGGCAATGTTTAAAAAGTAAGAAAACCAATATAAGAAAATTAAGGCAAACCGTTAAAAAAAATAAATAAATAAGGCGAACAAAATTAACATTAAGCTAAGCGACTTAAGATATTAAAGCCCAGGATTTTCAATACCGATTTTCAATGTAGACACAAGATTATTTTATTGCAATAAAAATGTAAAAATTAAAAGATGAAGTACACAAATGATAATTATTCGAAATACAAATATCGTTAATTAAACAATTTAGTAAGAAAAAAATCCTTATATCCTTAAGTTATATGATAATGCATACTGAGAAGTCATGCAGTAGAAACGTAATTTTTTGTAGATTTATATATTTTTATATTTCAAAAGTTTTTAAAAATATAAATTGAAGACAGATATTTTGTTAAAATATTGTTTAATATTGTCAAATATTAATAATCATAACAACAACAAACAAAATAACTGACGTAACTTTATCAATATTTTGCAACACTTAGAAAAGAACGCGATTTAAGAAACGACACACTGTTTAACAATATTTCGACAGTATGTCTGTCTTATATTTATTACTATCTTATTATTATTATTATTATTGTTATTATTATTATTATTATTGTTATAACCTTATATCTAAATATTGTTAAACATTGTTAAATACGGTGTCTTTTCTTTCGTTAATTAAACAATTTAGTAAGAAAAAATCCTTATATCCTTAAGTTATATGATAGTGCATTCAGTCAACTACTGAAAAGTACTCATTAAAAGATGCCATTAATTTTTTAAGTTTTCCATTTACGTCGCGGTATTTCTTGGCGCTCTTGATATTTTGGCAATCTGATCTTACTTTTGCTATATGAATTTCTTGCAAGTTATGTTCTCTTTTGAGAGCGTCCAAGAATTTCCATATTGTAGAATGATGGGATGACACTTGCTGCAAAAAATCTCTATACTATCTTTCAAGGGCTTTATTAGTTCTAGAAAAGTCACATTGACTCTCTCAAAGCAACACCACGTATTTCAAACATAGGTACTTCGAATAATTATTAGTTTGTATAATTGTTCTTTCGATTAATTTTTTATTCAATCAATTTACAATTCGAATTTTTTTTTTAATAATTATTTTCGATATAAACAAAACATGCTTAGATGCTGAAAAGGGGTCGAGGTTTTTTTTTTCTTTTTTTTTTTTTTTGCGAGGGTGGCAATCATGGTTTTTAATCATTTCACCCCAAGTAAGCCAATGAAACCACTAAGCGTAAGGGGTTAGAGTGTTAAAGAATATGAGAAAATACCATTAAAGAGAAAGAAAAAATAAAATAATAACAATTAAGAAGACAAAAGATAACGATTGACATTGCACTTAAATTTTCGAAGATTAAAGCTGACTTGGAAACAAGAAGCCGAAAGAGAGTTCCATAAGTGAGAAATGTGATAGAAGAAGCTGTTAGCATAGAACTTATGATTACTTCTGGCCATTTTAAACTGTAAAATGACGAGACCTTGGGCGGCTTTTATGCTAATTTAGTATAATTGTCCTTTCGATTAATTTTTCATTCAAATAATTTACAATTCGAATAAATCTTTTTCGAATAATAGTTTTCAAACAATTATTTTTGAACAATGTTCGCATAATGGCTAAAACACGCCACACCGCGGACATTGAATCAGTCCACCACCATTGCTTTCGTATTCTTTTAGTAAGGATAGTTTCTTCCCAAGAAATGTTGCTTTGTGGAACAGAATCTCAGGAGGGCGCTATTTCCGACCACTACAATCTTCACCTCTTCATGTCGACTCTTAACCGTTATCTTCTCCAAATATACACATAAACAGCATCCTATCGTCTTAATGAGCACACAACAAACACAGGCCTGGGGTAGAGTGGGTCTTTTTTTTTAACAAAGGAACACGATTAGAATAGTTTGCTACCGTGAATATAGAATAGAGTGCTCTTGATGTGAAGGTCTGAGCTGGTGAAACTAAGAAACCTCTTGTCATTCGCCCGAACAATCTTTTTGTACGATAACTTTTTTTATAAATTGGAAATTGGGGATAATCGAAATTAATTGCAAAATCCAGCGAAAGTCACTCATAAAATAAAAACAATTGTTTGTACGGAAAGTAAGGACCTACGGACATCAACTTGTCTTTAAATTATGTGGCAGCAGAAAAATTATCGTTGAACTTTTAAAAGGTAAGCTTAAATATGAATGCAATACTTAAAAATGCAGCGACCAATTTTGACTTCTTCCATAGTTTATTGCTGCCTATTGCATTTACTCCTCCCTCTAGGGCGGATTTTAATCTGTTCGATTAGTTTTCATTCAAATAATTTACAATTCGAATAGATGTTTTTCGAATAATTGTTTTACGACAATTATTTTCGAGCAATGTTTCCGTAAACATGACCACCTCAGACGTCGGATCATGTCTAAATATGAGTTCTTTGTTTTTTGGTGACTGTTTAGCCTTTTGGCGTCGTAAGAGAAAATAATGTTATTTGAAACCATAACCATGCAGTTTTTTTTTTTATTAGCAATCGTGAACAGATTTTAATTGAACAAGAATAACTGTTTTATTACCTTCTACGAGTAAAAAGAATCCTTTGTCGTTTTTCTGTAAAATTTGGATAGCTTTTTCGGTTAGCTCCGCCAAGGTCGGGTCTGTATTACCAGTTTCTTTCCTGTACATTTCATACTGGAGATGACTCGGTTCAAACAAACCTAATAAAAGAAAATAATATCAATAATAATTCGACTGTGCGTCTGTCTTCAAGCTATATATAGGTACAAGTATAAAAAAAAATTATGTAGTCTTCTAGAAGTGTTGGAAAATGACATACACTTTATATTATTTTATTACTTATTAGCGTTAATGGATACTTTTATTTGAAATAGACGGACAATTTTTAGACATAACGTGTGTTTTAGACAAGAAATTCAAGAAGTGTATGCTTATTGACATAGCAGTACCATCTGAGAAAAACACCGCTATGAAAATTATCGAGCAATTGTCCAAATACAAGAACCTGGAGATCAAGATTAACAGTATGTGGGGAATGAAAACTGAGACTGTACCAATAGTAATCGGAGCTCTGAGCCTCGTGAGAAAGGGAATGGACAATTTTACTAAGTGTCCCAGGTAACATCAAGATACAAGTTGCACAAAAGATCGCCCTGCTAGGAACATCCCATATACTAAGAAAAGTTCAATAAATTAAATGACAATTTAACCTATAGGGGCTAAGGATTATAGTTTGGACCCAACTCTACAGGATACAAAGCAGGAAACAAAAAAAAAAAAAAAAAAAAAAAAAAAAATCTACCTGCAGAACAAAAACAAAACAAAGGAAAATAAAAAAATATATCAGGATTCCGTCCCGGAAAAATTTGTAGACCATACGAATAGTATCCGTAATAATTTGCGCACTTTGTCCCTAAAACGTTAGAGAAAAGAAAAATCGATCTGAAGGAAAATTGAGACTGCCCGAATCACAAGTTAGCAAGAATACTGAGGAAGGTGCTGGAAATCATAGAAGACAAAATATCACTGGAGATTCAGCAACAATAATTGACACCTAAATAATCTTATACGCAACAACTAGTTTTTGACTCTTATGTCAATAACTTTTACTGTCTAGAGCAATGGCTCAACTGGGGTGGAGCAACATGGGTACAATGAGGCCCTGTTAAATTTTATGGTGGCCATAGAACAATTTTGTGAATTCGTGAGGGCACACGTTCAATTAAAGGGGTCACAATGCTACAACCCTGCTCCTCTCTATATTTTAGTTCTAATAAACTTAAATTATGTTATTGAAATATAGTTTTGAGCTTTATTTACAAAATGACTTGCATTTGCTTTATGCATGAACGATACATTATCAAATAACTTTCAGTTTTTTTTTATGTCACTAGTGTGAATTTGGGTAAAATCTATGTGCAGGATTTTTTTTTATTTTTATTTTGCAGAGTTTTATTTTTTTATTTTATAGAATTTTGTGCGTACGTTTAACCGCAGAATTTTTTTTCTGAAATTAAAATTTTCTTTGATTTAACGGGTTTGTTTTTTAAAACCGGCACTTTTGTAGATTATATGGAGAAACATCACCGTTCAATTGACCCGGAAATTGTAAACATATAGGATGGGGTCATAAAAAAATCATTATTCAAAAGGGGGCCATGAATAGAAAAGAGGTGAATAAATCAGAAAAGTATTGTCAGTGGTCAGGAATGAATGGAAGTATTACTGATAGAATAGGGCTATTATATGTATAATGTAAATGCATTGCTAATGATTTTACTATAAGAAAAATCAGGAAGCATTGAAAATCAGGAAGAAAATCAAGATTGTCAGTGGTCATTATATTTAATGAAATGAATGATTTTGCTGTAAGAATGCATTGAAAATCAGGAAGAAAGGGATTGTCAGTGGTCAGGAATGAATGCAAGCATTACTGATAGAATAGGGCTATTATATGTATAATGTAAATGCATTGCTAATGATTTTACTATAGGAATGCATTGAAAATCAGGAAGAAAGGGATTGTCAGTGGTCAGGAATGAATGAATGATAGAATAGGGTTATTATATGTATAATGCTAATGATTTTACTATAGGAATGCATTGAAAATCAGACAGAAAGGGATTGTCAGTGGTCAGGAATGAATGCAAGGATTACTTATAGAATAGGGTTATTATATGTATAATGTAAATGCCTTGCTAATGATTTTGCTATAGGAATGCATTGGTAATCAGGAAGAAAGGGATTGTCAGTGGTCAGGAATTAATGCAGGTATTACTGATACAATAGTGCTATTATATGTTTTAATGTAAATGCATTGTTAATGGTCTTAATATAGGTATGCACTAGAAATCAAGCCGAAGGGATTGTCAGTGGGCAAGAATTAAGGTAATCATTCTTGAACAAGCAATTACATGGTTAATGTAAATATATTACTATTAGTTTTCTTCTTGGACAGTATTTAATTTTGGCTTCGTTCTGAACTTAAATCTTGTATAAACTACGATCTCCAAGGTAATTGCGTACGTGTTGTTACGTGCCGAAACATTAAACGCAAATCTCAAGGTACGAAACAGGAAAATCTGGTTTTCCTAGTGCTTTTATTGGCTGGCATAAAATCTACAGTTTATAATTTTGAGAATAGCCACTAACAACGGACAAAAAAAAATTCTTTTCTTATTTATTTATTGGTTGCTGTTACTTTTACGCTTTGGTAGATGCATTCTTCGACCTTACTCAAGTGCACATTTCAAAAGAAAGAAAAGAGATACAAGGATTTCGTTCAACCCTTAATTCTTATGTAAATGGCAACAGAAAAATTACCGCTCATACATCAACCGGCCTAGTCGCTCTTAACAAAACAACACATCCACGTCGAGAGTATGATGATAAACTACATTCAGTGACAAGGCCCCTGATCGGGAGATTGTTCTTTCTCCTTAATAATGTTTGTTTCTCATGTCTTCTAAAACTCGGTGTTCCCTTGCGTTTTGGGTATGCCAATAAACTACATCCGGGAGATTGGAGTAGAGTGGAATAACCTCTTAATTGCTGTTCTCAAGTCCACCTTGACCCAGGTTGGCAACACGTGTTAGGGTCTCAGCTATGAGAAAATAGTTTAACACCCAATGAAAATCAAAACACTAGGAAAATGTAAAAATAAATTTTCGTACTAAAAATACCAGTAATATATTTTTATATAAAAAATTACTAACAATACATTTTGATAGAAAAATTGGTAATCAATACCTTTTAATGTAAAATTGAAGATATGGCATACATTGTCCAAAAAAAAGAAGTTAAAAAAATACTTTGCTATGATTAATCTCATTTCTTGGAAGAAGAAAAAAACTATCACATCCCCGTCTAGAGTATGACAATAAACTACATTCAGTGGCAAGGCCCCTAATCGGGAGATTGAGGAACGTGGAACCCGTTCTTAATTGCTGTTGTTTCCAGGTTCACCTTGAATCGGGGTGGTAGTACCTGTTAGGGTCCCAGCTGTGACTAAATACTGAAAACCCTAACAAAAATCAAAACATTAAAAAAGTATAAAGATACATTTTTTTATAGTAAAAGTACCAGCAATACATTTTTTTTTCATAAAAAGATTACCAACAATACATTTTTATAGTGAAATTACCAACAATACACTTTTATAATAAAATTACTAACAAAACATGTTTATAGCAAAATAACCAGAAGTATATTTTATAGTAGAAATACATTTTTTATAGCAAAATGACAATCAATACATTTATAGTAAAATTGAAGATATGGCAAACATTGTCAAAAAACAATAAAAAATGTTTTACGATTAATCTTATTTCTTATAAGAAGAACAAGTTTACACGCTTTGTTTGATTTTTGTAAGATTATTTAGTAAAAAAACAAATAAAGCATGGTAATTATAATTTAATCAGGAAAAAAAAATGTCATTCTCTTGAATTAATTAAAAAGTTGGAATTTTCATATTTAGATTTCGGTATTAAATAACCCAAACGGATGGTTATGTCGCTAAACAAAAACAACGAAACCCTGGCACCTTAGTGACAATATTGTTTGGGGTAAAATTACTTAATATAAAGGATATCCCAGAATTAGTTATTTATTTCAGTGAAATCGGACATTTTTTTAACTCACTTTTATTTCTGTTCATCGGGTTTAATTTGTGTTAGAAGTTTATAAATTTCTAATTTCTTTTCTAACATAATAATTTTTCTAATTTTCGTGAATATGACAATAAAGATGAGGACAACAATTATCTTCTGTCTTCTTAATTCCTGTTCTTTTAATGGTCTCTCTACTTAATGTTTGTTTCTCATATCTTCTAACATTGGGTAGCACGTCGCGTTTTGAGTATGCGCATAAACTACTTCCGGGTGACTGGAGGCTTGAAGGCGAGTGGAAATACATTTTTTATATAAAAATAATTACTATTTCAGTGAAATCAGCCATTTTTTAAAAAAACTCACTTTTATTTCTGTTCATCAGGTTTAATCTGTTAAAAGTATATAAATTTCTAATTTCTTTTATAACTTAATAATTTTTCTAATTTTCGTGAATATGACAATAAAGATAAGGACAACAGTTATCTTCTGTCTTCTTAATTCCTGTTCTTTTATTGTCTTCTCTCCTTAATAATGTTTGTTTCTCATGTCTTCTAACACTCGGTGTCACCTTGCGTTTTGGGTATGCCCATAAACTACATCCGGTATCAAGGCCTCTGTATCGGGAGATTGGAGATTTGAAGGAGAGTGAAAATACCTCTTAATTGCTGTTGTTCCCATGCCCAATCTGAACCGGGTGATAGCATCTGTTAAGGTTCCAGTTATGGGCAAATAGTGAACATCCAAACAAAAATAAAATGAAACTAGAAAAGTATAAAAATACATTTTTATAGTAAAAATTCCAGCAATATATTTATATGAAAAAAATTACCACCAATTCATTTTTGTAGTGAATTTACCAGCAATATATTTTTGTAAAAAAAAAAAAAAATTACCAACAATCCATTTTAATAGTAAAATGAAAATCAATACCTTTTATAATAAAATTGAAGATACGACAAATATTGTCAAAAACCACATAAAAAAAGTTTGCTATGATTAATCTCATTTCTTTTATAGAGAAACAAGTTTTGTTGATTAATCTTGTAAGATTATTATGTTTTTACAGTGAAGTTCACCCTGTATATGGC